AGTAGGTAGTAAATAGTACAATTTAAATTATTTAAAACAAAAATGTTAAATAAAAATATATTTTTATAAATTTGGTTTATAAATTATACAGGGTTTCCTGACTTACTGAACACCCTGTATATAAACATTNTATATTTTTATAAATTTGGTATATAAATTATATATAAACATTTAAAGTTTCAAATTTTTTATTTAATATACATGTATAATACACAAGGCATTACAAATACAGGTAGCTAATTGGTTTTTTATGACATTGATATTAGCAGTTACACAGCATTGTTATTATCAATGGTGGTAAGGCACATTGTTGTGAGTTTATAAATACACTAACTAACAATAAAAAAGTATATCTATTGATAGTCATAATTGATAATAAACAAACCGTGACTGTGACAGCTATGTCTTAAAAATCATACATGTATATTAACTAAAAAATTTGAAACTTGTTTATATATAATAAATGAATAAAGTTATCTTAAAAATTACAATGGCATCTACTATTAAATTAAAAACTGAAACATTTTATTAAATTAAAAATATGTGTTTCCATTTAAAAAAACAAAGTTGACCCCCTTTCAAGGCATAAGGGATGAACTTAAAAAGTATTACATAGTTAATAATTCGAGAATAATGTGTAACTAAAGATAACAAAAAAAAAAAATCTTTAAATATATTTATTCTATAAGTAATTGAGTGGGTTATGATATAAAAATCACTCTGTATACTAGAAATTCCTCAGAGAGTATCTTAAATTTAAGGGGTAACTGGTCAACTAGATCCTTCTAAAGGTATTCTGTACCATACAATTGTAAAAATAAAATCAATTTTTAAATGAAAATCAAGGGCAAAAAAATATTGACACCAAATTTAAAATTAATTAATCAATTAAACTGGGAAAATTACCTATACATCGCCTAAAAAAAAATCATTCCACAAGCCACTATTACATAAACTGAACAATACTACACAATTATAACACATTTTTTACCAACATTGAATGGAACTTACAATATTTATTTCGGGAGTATTCAGTCTTCGGAGTTTTCAGCCTCCACTCGGCACACAGCGTATTTTAAATTAAAAAAAACAAAAAATAAAAAAAGGCAGTACAGGGGAGTCGCGGCACAGTTGTGACGTGGCATAGTTGGATCAAGTATAATGATATCTGACAGTGATTAAAATAACTATAAAAAAAAATTCGATGCAAATCTTTAGATATCGTTTAATTATAAAAAATTGGTAGATGATTACAACATCAACTTCTATTTCCTTAATTATACCCAGCTTAGTAATTCTTTTAATTACATATTATATCATTTTTAAAATTAATTGTTTTCAAATTATTATGATCTGCTAGTTCCTTATTAATATCCTGATTAAGATAAAGTATGTCGAATGAAAAAGGGAATATTAAAAAATATTATTTCTCATAAGAATATTGTGTTGATCCATACACTTTTCAATAAGTTAAAGCATTATAAAGTTAAAAATGTAAAATATAAAATCGAGAATTTTCACACGAAAATAGCATTTGATAGCCATTTTCACTGTGAAGACAAAATAAAGTCCAAATTTTTTTTTTAATATTAAAGTATATTACATAAGTTTTAATTTAAGATAAATATAAAAGTGTCAGTATTTCCGGAACACTTTTAAAAATTAAGTTGAAAAAGTTCTAGTTTCTCTATGCATTTTTATGTTTTAAACCCACCTGTATTAAGGGAAATGGTCCGATTTAAAAAACAAGTATGTCAAATGAAAGATGTATATAAATACTACTTTTCATGAAAAAATTGTATTGATCCATACATTTTTCAAAAAGTTATAGCATAATAAAGTTAAAAATGTAAAATACAAAATCGAAAATTTTCACACAAAAATAGCATTCGGGGGCCATTTCCACCGTGAAGATAAAATAAAGTCCGAAATTTTTTTTTTTCATAATTAAGAATATTACATAAGGTTTAATTTAAGATATATATAAAAGTGTTAGACCTTCCGAAACATTTTCAAAAGTTAAGTGGAAAAATTTAATTTTTTGTAAAAAAGTTGTCATTTTAAATCCCCCCCTGTGGGCGGATGAAGGGTTAGATTTACAAAAAAATATACCAAATGATAAGTAAAGATATCAAGCATCTATAAAAAAAAATTATATTGATATGTTCATTTTTGAAAAAGTTACGGCAGTTTTAAGTAAAAAAAATTGAAAAAATTTCGAAAATTAGCGATTTTTAAATTTGTAATTTTTTTGTAGGTTTCCCCCATTTACGGGGAACGAGGGAATTTTTTTCAATTTTTGAAGGTAATGTCTTCGACTAGATACGATTTGTGATCTTTTGACGTATCATTGAAAGAAATCGGTTCAGTGAGAGCTGAGAAAGAGTGGTAACAGACACTAAAAAAAAAAAAACACATCATAGTAAAACCAATACCTTCTCACCTTCGCATCGAAGCTAAAACCGAACAAAATTACGCACACGATTACACGAAACTTAACACACATGTATGCAAAACGTAGTAGTTCGATCACTGGACACTGAACGTTTGAATTAGCTGTTTGTAGTGTGTTTATTCCTTTATTCCAACTTTGATAGGTACTAAGATGTTTATAATAAAAAGGATAACCAAGATACGTGAAAATAAAATATTACAACGACGAACGGCCTGCGCTAATCGCTATTATAATATGGTATCGCGATTCATAGAAGTCAGTCACGTCTTATCAAACCTTCTGGACACTACCACCACGCTGTTTAATAATAAATGACATAATTACTCGAACGTATACCAATTTACTAAAGTATTATATTGTATTTGCAGTATGCCCCAATGTCGTTATCATGTGACGTATATCGGTATTAATTTTGCAGACCAAATTATATAAATACAAAACAATATTTACTTTTTAAAGTTGATGTTTTCATAAGCCGAGGGTTAAAAAGTTTAAAATTTTTTTTTATAGTATACGGCATCCGGATGCCCCCAAACATCTGCTGCCCGGGGCAAGTGCCCTTAAAACCCTCCGTCAAATCCGGCCCTGGTCGTGATAAACCTTTTCCAGATGCATCAGTTAATGGAACAAACTGTAGAAAATCCTTATGTAATTCAAATGTTTTTAAATCAATATATCGAACGCAAATAGACACCTGTTCGATACAGGCTATATCTGCAGTTTCGTCGACGAGAACTGAAAAACATTTGACTTCATTTACTCGGCCGACTATTTTATTGAGTAAAATTGAATTGCATGTATCAATTATAGAATTTTGACTAATAGGGCTTGTATATTTTACAGTACCGGAACTCTCAAGATATAATTTTAGTGATGAATCACCGCGAGCTCTAAAGCGTAATAAATTACGAAAATTTCCATCGTTTATATCGGTGTTATGAACGATTTATTTTCAAAATTCGCGATGACCTCGTAGAGGTATATTTTGTTGACCACATAAAATAGCTGTTTCTATAACAGGAGAAATGTTTTTTCTATATTCAAAAATTTGTCGTGCCCGAGCAGTGACTAATTGATATTCAATAGATAGATGTATATTATTTTTCATATCTATGAAATTATCTGCATCTAAGACGGATTGTTTGTGGTACTGAAGTGTGTTATGATTTTTAAACGTTTCCATTGCATGTTTCCAATTCTGAAAAGGTTTTCTAACCAAAGCGCCTAGTGTTTGAGAATTTTTTCCAGCTCCTGATTTAACAAATGCTACACAAAACGTACAAAATGCGTCATTTAATTTGGCAGAATACGCTAACCACGGAAAAGTATGCAACAATTTGTATTAAAATTTTAAATTTTTTGAACGTTTATCTTTACCACAAATTATTACAGTATTAGGGAATTCAAAAGTAGGTTCGGGATTACAAATTTTTTTAAGAACGTCTTCTTTCTCTACGTCCGTTAACGAGCGGTTAAAATAAAGTCCAATGTCAAAAATTTTAAAATGAAGTTAATTTTTTGTATAGGTATTATCAGATTTTTTTTGCCGTTTGACATTTTCGACATTATTTGCACTAGCTGAAATCGGCCGTGAAATTGCAGAAACGAACAGAATATGTTGGTCAAATTTTTCTTGAAAATTTGTATCATTGTTTTTTTTTTAAATATTGTGTTAATGACGTTAGCTGAGACATTTAAAAAAAAATAAATTATTTTGTACTCACTCGTATATCTTTGAAAGCAAAATGAGTTCAACAGAAAATATCATTAATTGGAACCAGTTATCTAATAATAAACGCGAAGTTCCGTTTACATTCGTAAATGAAAGAGTAAGTGACGAGTGTATAAATATGTAGTGTGCTTTATGTTTGAAACGCAACCTATTGGTAATGAAACCCCAGTGACTAAAATAATTATGAGTTTAAAATTTCGAGATAAAACGCACCATACAGTGTACGGGTACCTTGCCTTTATCGCACTTGATATTTATATTTAGCCATAACTTAGAAACCGTCGTCACAATGGCAAGTCTATGTAATATTATGCATAATAATTTCTATACGTATTACTTGACTATATTGCAGGAATAATAATCTGATTTTTTTTGCTCGGGGGGGG